AACAACATTTAATTATATTATTATTTTAAAAAATTATTAAATTTTTTTATAATTTTTTATAAAACTTTATATATATTATTTAATTATTAGTTTCACTCATTAAATTTTGTGGTATTGTACATATATAAGTAAATAAGACGTGAAAGTTGTATACGAATATATATTGTCAAAAATGTTGTCTCCATGTGATTAGCCATAGAAAAAATGAACAGGTTTGCTTTCCAACTAGTTATTTCCATGCAAAAACAGTTTATTCTGTGACCACGCCAGGGTACCAATAAGAATTTGCCTTCCTTCAATCCGAACAGACGTCAAACAATATCATCGGACGCCTCAGCCGCCACAAACCATGGTGGGTTCTTCTTCCGACTAGCATATAGTGATGCTTCCCATGATGGCTCACGGCCATCTCATCCCATTCCTCGCACTTGCAAGAGAAATCCACCGACGGAAAGGCTTCACCATCACCATGGCAAGCACCCCTCTCAACATCCAGTACCTCAGATCCACAGCCGTATCAGAGATTCGCCTCGTAGAGCTCCCTTTTCGCAGCGCTGAACACGGCCTTCCGCCCGATACCGAGAACACCGAGAACTTGCCCTTGGATCAAATCATCAATATTTTTAGAGCGTCAGAGAGCCTCGAAGCTCCAGTCCGTCAACTTTAATCGGAGATAGTAGAGAAATAAGGGAGGCCTCCTCTTTGTGTAAGTATTGGATGTGTTCTTTGGGTGGGCTGTGAGGGTTGCAGAGAGCATGGGCACTGTAAACGTCACTTTTTGGACAGGGGGCGCCTATGGCACCCTGGCGTACATATCTCTGTGGATGAATCTTCCACATCGGGAATCACAGTCAGAAGAATTCACCTTACCAGGATTCCCCGATAGGGTTCGTTTCCATATCTCGCAATTGCATCGGTTTTTGAGAATGGCGGACAGAACCGATTCATGGTCAAGATTCTTTCAGCCGCAGATTTCAAAATCTTTGCAGTCATTCGGGTGTTTGTGCAACACTGTTGAAGAGATTGAGCCTATTGCACTTGAATGGTTGAGAAAATACATGAAAATCCCTGTTTGGCCAATTGGTCCTCTGCTTCCTTCGGCTCTGTTAAACAAGTCATCTTCTTCGGCTGGGTATTTTTACCAACACCGAGCGGGCAAACAACCAGGGATCTCTGTAGAAAACTGTATCAAGTGGCTTGATTTTCAGAAACCTGATTCGGTTCTTTACATATCGTTTGGATCACAAAACACAATCAGTCAAGCACAGATGAAAGCGTTAGCTTCTGGTTTGGAAGAGAGCGGCGTTCGGTTCATCTGGGTCATAAGACCTCCGCTGGGCTTCGACCTGAGAGGGGCATTTAAACCAGAATGGCTACCGGCTGGATTCGAAGAGAGGACGAGGGAGAAAAAACAGGGTTTGTTGGTGAAAAACTGGGCGCCCCAGTTGGATATTTTGTCACACAAATCAACCGGCGCATTTGTGAGTCATTGCGGGTGGAATTCAGTAACGGAAAGCTTGAGCCAGGGAGTGC